TTTTATATTTTAAGATCTGAATAAAAAAAAAACCTGAATCAAAAATGGTAAATGCCATCTCACACAAACACACAAACACAAAAAACACAAACACACACACACACACACGCACGCACGCACACACACACACACACACATACACACACACACACACACACACACACACACACACACACACACACACACACACACACACACACACACACACACACACACACACACACACACACACACACACACACACACACAGGTAATAAGTCAAGTAATATTGTGGAGAGAAACTGATTAAACATAAAAAAATCTGTGGACACAAATAATAACTAAAGCTGTTTGAATTGTTTTGGAAGTCAGCATTACAAGTTATAATGTGTTGATTTGGTGCTCATAGACTAAATCAATATATACATTTTTACAACAGCTCTTTCTGATTCATAAATCTGATTGTCTGATAGCTGTGCGATATTCTGCAATAACAGCACTCGTATAGCCTCCTCACCCTTGTGTATTACTCTGACCACATAGAGTGACAGCAGATCAATAAACTCACTTCTGTTTCACAAATATTGCAGCTGTTGGACAACATTTTTCACTTTTGATGCTTTTAGGCAAGAATGTAGTTATCAATTTATTTATAAAAATAGTGCCTATTTTAAATATTCATAATTTCGGAGATTCAGTGTTTGGACGGTCATCAGCGTGTCACACTGAGGAGAGCAAAGATGGTTGCACCACAAGATGGCGACAGAGCACACATAATAAGCCCTTAATGAAAAAAATATATATTTTCATATTTCAAAATACAGCTGATCAAATCATTTAAAGTCGACATTCCAAGTCGATCTCTCTCTCTCTCTTGTATGTACTAGTGCTGTATTTACACCATAGTAATCTTCTAGTGTTTGCTTTGCTTTGGATTTTCGAGGTTAATTATTGTGATCTCCTGATTGCAACAGTGACATATTGAATAAAAAGAAATATTCTTAGAATGTAAGCAAAATCACCTGTTTTGTCATCACTTTAGATATTATGCTAGAGAATCATTCAAACACTAGCTCTAAAGTAACGTGGTTTTAAGCAATGGTTTCTGCTGTTCTGACAATCAGCTGCAGATGTGAATGAATGGCGGAAGAAAGTAGTTCCTCTTACAAAAGGATTTTTGAGACTTTCCATGTTTGATTTTTTATATATATATATATTTACAATAATGCCATTAAACTGTTATATACACACTGTCTGTATATCATCACTGGTGGGACACTAAGGCTCAACGCACGCCTCCCACCAGTGCCGATATACAGCCATATACAGCCATTCTTCATATTCACACTATGAAAACCTAAATGAGGAAAAGCTGAATCTCAGATGGTAGAATAGCCATCACGCATACATGGCACACACATACAAACTGCTAGATTGTGAAAATCCAACCGCAGGGAATTGAAGGCCCGAGGCGCTGTAAGGCTGTAGGGAGGAAACAGCGGATTCTAACACATCCGCCGGGTGTTTACAGCACTTCTCAGATGCCTGCCACAGCTGGCAAACACACTTACTATTGACCAAAAGCAAACAGTCAGCTTTCACCACCTATCGAGGTGACAATTCATCAAGCACATTCTGGGACACCTCAAAGCACCATGAGGAGGAAATCAACCAGGGACGGCTGAAACAAATGATCACAAAATGGTTCAATACAGGCAAACACAGTCGCTTCCCCGTCCCATCACTCCTCGGAAGACGCCAGTGACATTTTAGAAAGTGACATCCATTGAAGTGACAAGTGGAGAAGCTCAGCGAGAGAGAAACAATATGCACAGCGAAGACATTTTTTTTTATTATTATTGGCATGTGCTTCCTAAATGGGTGTTCAATTAAATTAGAATTAATTATGCCTTATCTAAAAGGCCCAGGACATTCTGGCGGACTGTGAGAAGAGCTTTAAGAAGACCCTCTTATCATTAAAGGACTTCTCTTGCTGCTTTTAAATGAATGTTAACTTCACAGACTCTGTGTTGTCTGCATGTTTGGTGTCCACTGTATGTCTCTTTGTTCGCTCTGTGCCTTCTTTCAGTTCTTCCCAACTTGCTTTAAAACATGGATTTATTGTCAGACATCAAACATAGAGGCTCAGTACAGAACAAAATAGCTTGTTAAACAAAATGTACCTAAAATCAAACATTACATATACTTTATTAATGTTACCATGACCTAAGAGAGTTAGTATGTAGATGTCATGAAGATTCATAAATAACTGTAGAATCGTAATGTACTGGCATGCATGAATAAATAAATACATAAATAAATAAAATCTGATCACATTTCTTTTGCAAACCCATTTTTTTCTAACTATCATTTTTAATAACTATACAAAACATTACATTTGCATAAAAATATTAATTAAAAATATATATTTTTACATTTTTTATTATTGTTATTCTTATTATTCTTATTATTATTGACATAAAATCATTAATGTAATTTTAAAGAAAGGCTGAAAGTGGGAAAAACATTTTGGGCCCTATCATGCACCCAGCACAATGAGACATGTTTAGCAGGATTTGTTGCTATTTTCAGACCAGCGCAACTAAAATTTCCCCATTTTGCACCATGTTTTTTAAATAATAAATATATTTGTGCTGCTTTGTGGACTTATGGGTGTTCCGGTCTATAAAGGAGGTGTGTTAAGATGTATTGTTAGCGGCTGCTGTTTTGAGCAACTGATATAGACTGCGCCATTGACAAGCTGAAAGCAGGTCTAAAGTCCAGCGCACAGCACGTTACTCATGCGCCCATGGAGGTACAAAACATGTACATATTGCTTTATACACTCAGGATGTACAGCCATACGCAAATATCTTTAGATATAAAAAAGAATTAAAGGATTAAAATATTACAAAAAATATATATTTTTTCTACATAAATATAAAAAGCACTGCCTATGCCTTTTTCACAATGACAATTTGCTTTTGTATAATGTTATTAGTAGTAGCAGTAGTATTATTTATCATAAGCATATTTATATTTATTTTAATAAAAACAAGTTTATATTTATCCTCCTGTCGGGTTTTTGAGGCGTATGCATCACCATATGGGGCATAAGAATGGGACACGTGTTTGGATATAACTCCAAACACTTGACCACACTTTGTTATTATTGTTCATTTATTTGTTTGTGAAATTAGAACTCAATTTAGAAATAGTTTTGAAACAAATCTTTGTGCTTAACAAACAAAATTAAATAAGTAGCTAATGGATGTCCTCAGTGGAGTGAAGTGACTGTTTTCATACTCTACAAAAGTAAAGGAGTAAAAGTAAATAGAACGTGAAGAGG